AGAGGGAAGTGAGTTTAGTGCAAGGTGAACTAGAAAAGGGTCAGCTATAGGGATCTCAAGAGCTTTCAGCTTGCTTGCAACCTCTATCATGCTCAAAAGATAAATCCTCATGTCCACGACACCATCATACTTCATGGTTGCAAGTTTGGTCATCAAGGTACCAGTTTCTGCCTTCTCGGATTCTTTAAACTTCAGTCCTATAGCCTCCAAAAACTCCTTAGCATTCTCAGATTCAGTGATGCCTCCACAAATAGTTTCTGTCATGGATTTCTTCATGACAAGTAGGCATATCCTATTTGCCTTCTCCCACTTCTCGAGTTTCTGCTTCTGTTCAGCATTGCTATCGGCAGTGACCTCAGGTTTCTCTTCTCTCAGTGCTAAGTCGTGATCTAGAAGACCTAGAACTATCTCTAAGTCTCTTTTCCACTTCTTAAAATTGCTACCAGTCAGTGGTTCAATTGAATTGAAAGCAGAGGGATTCACACTGAAAACATAGAATTTTGCAATACAATTAATCTTTACCCCCAAAAACTTTATGCACATATGACACACATCTGTGGACAGTATATCAAAATGCCTTTAATTTCCTTCACAAGTCCAGCAACATGAACTGTGTGATTTTCCTTTATCAAAACAATTTATTGTCTGTGGACAGTAATGCTTGATCGATCACAACAGCTAATGAACCCTCTTGTTCTATCATAGAGCACAAAAATTGGAATTCACACTTGTAAGCAGAGAAAAACAATTGTTGTACCCTATGACACAATTTCGCCATTGGTATTTTGAGATTATATAACAATCAATTAATACTCATCTGTGGATTAAGCAATAACAAATTGTTCTCTATCAAAACATGGCAACACTTTATGGGATGTTATTCTTTATGCGGAATCATAACATATTTATTAAGGAAAACCAGATCTGATCGCTTTTATCCTAAGCATACTGCTATCAAAATTTTGAAACAACAAACAACACAATCATAGTCCAGGATCTCGAAACAAAATGTAAGATTGATTTATTAATATGCAAGCCTGAAACAATTTAAATCAACACAGAACAAATATGCATGCGTCTCAATTTTACTTCTCAATTTTATCCCCCTTTTAGACCTATAGATGCATATAACCTGGCTCTGATACCACATGTAACTTCTATATCACATGTAATCTATAAGCACTAACCTTGAGAAGCCATTTAGAGCAAGCACAACAACAGCAGCAAAACCCACGAACTAGCCTTTGTCTTCCTCTCTCTATGCACTCTAAATCTCTCCTGTATGGGTAGGAATGTGAGTCTGTTTTTTTTAGTGCATGAGAGTGGGGACCGAAGCCTTAGTTTTATATGGTGAGTGCCTTGAGGTTCCTGGCCCATAAAGGATTCCTCAAGGCTTATCCTTATCACCTTAAGAGTCCATAGCCTAATATAATAGATATTCCACAAGTGAGATAGAGCTCCAACTCTATCAAACTTATCCGTGTATATCCAGCTTATCTCTCCCTTGTATCCCTGATCAAGTTGGATTCCTAAACAGATGTGAACTCAAATAGAGTTCTTACAATTACTTTCCCAACCAATTTGGACTTCTAATAAGCCACTATCAAGCTGACCAACAAGTTTATGAAAACCAGGTTCATCTGGGTTTGGCCTACCAAGTTTTTTGTTTGTTTTTTATTACAAGCGATATTGGGAGGAGAGAATCACATCTAGGACCTCAAGTTTTTTTGTTTTTGCTAGATGCTCTTAACCGCTTGAGCTACAAGCCCCTTGCTAGCCTATCAAGTTTAAGCAAATGGTCAATGCGGGTATTTGGGTTTGCCTACCAAGTTTTCATTATGGCTCTACAAATGTTTGTAATATCCAACAGAAAGCAGTGATTGGCCTGCAGGCCTTGATGGAATTGCATACGTTGGAGCCTTTATGCTACACAAAACTATATATCTGCAAGTAATGGGCAAGAACTTGAACATTTCTACAAATTGAAAAGAGAGAAAATGCTTGTGATTGCTTTTCCAGGAAGACCTTCAATCTTGTACTCCACACACAAGATTTAGCCCACATTTTATACATAAATTTTGGTACAAGGCATTTTCAGCTCACAATTAAGCCTAATACAATCTTAAAATCCACAAAATAAAGCACTGCAAGCCTGACCAAATACAAAAAGTCTGTTTACAAAATGCATCTTCTACCATGTGCCCAAAACAAGATGTTGAATTATGAAAGGAAAGAATGACCAAAACAGAGCCACACATTTACAAGGAGAAGCTGTACGTTGCAAATAGATGACCAAAACAGAGCCACACATTGTAATTTGAAATGAAGTCTGCTTTGGCTTTGACTTAGTTAATTAAAAATAACACTATAGCTGGAATTAATACATTAATCGGAGTGAGCTTGGATTAAAATGGATCTATTTATTTCTCTCAACAAACCAAAAAAAAAAAACTCCGAGTTAATTGTTCGAACAAGTAATTAACACTAATATAACTCATATTTATTCCTACTAAGCACTCCAAATTAACTCGTAAACTCTTCTCCAGATACCTATGCGTGTGCGTACTGGCAATCTTCAACACTTGAACTGAAAAGAGGCATTCAGCTACAGCTACTTTTCTCCTAATTTAGATGCTGCAGCTAAATATCAAAGTAAACAAATTAATACCCATCAATTTGGAGAAAAGAAAAAATGCAATAAGAAAATAATTATAAAACGAAATTAATGATGAGTGAGAAAGAGTACCGTCGCGAGCTTATCTATTAAGCATATGCTAGCTTTAGTTGCTGCTTGAGCAAAGCTATCTTCACATAAAGACAATCATTTAAACCATTCAAGAACTTCAAGTATGCGTATCTCCATGACCTGTTGAATATCAAAGTGCCACAAACTCCCCAAAATCCAGCAGCAAAGCCAAGCCCCATACTGATGTAAAATCCCAATGTTATAAGCTCATCCTTATCCTCTTGATTGCTCAAGTCAGTTTTCTCATTTTGATCGGCACACATCTTTTTAAGCGGAGGTCCACATAGTTGAGGATTTCCAACATAAACAGAGGGATCAAAGCGTTGGAGCTGAGTGCCTGTTGGTATTTTGCCAGACAAGTTGTTATATGACAAGTCCAAGAAACTAAGACGATCTATCCGAGCAAGGCTTGTCGGAATTCCTCCATCTATCTGGTTTCTTGATAAATCAAGAGAATCCAATGACTGCAAGTTTATGATCTCTGGAGTTATTTGACCTGTTAACTGGTTTCTTGAAAGGTTTAAAGAAATTAACCCAACAAGATGAGTGATTTCACTTGGAATCTCCCCTGTTAATCTATTGCTTGAGAGATCAATTCTCTTCACAAGGCCCAAAGTGCTTTTGTATGTCTGCATTCTTCCTTTCCATATGAAGCTTGCATCATCCTCATAATTAGTAATTGAATAATTATCCCTAATTCTGTTAAAAATATGTGTGTTGGATAGACTTGGATTTCCTTCTTGAGCCAGAATAGTCAAATTGTTGAGGCATTTGGGTATGCTTCCAGAGATGTTGTTCATAGAGAAATCCATAATTTTAATGTGCGTTAGATGGCATAATTGTGAGGGCATGCTTCCATTGAAGTGATTATTGGAAAGCATCAGGATAGCCAAATTCTTAAAGCTCACACCTAACCATGTAGGTATTGGTCCTGATAATTTGTTATCTCCCAGATCAATAACTTCTAAACTTGTGCAGTTCTTCAACAATGAAGGAAATTCTCCAACAAATCTGTTGCTTCTTAATTTCAAAGTTTGCATTTGAAATAAAGAGCCTATTGTCATGGGAATTTTTCCGGAAAAAGCGTTGTTACTCAAATCAAGCATGACTATCTCCAAATGGCTCCAGCAATCTGGAAGTTCTCCAGAAAAATTGTTTCTTGAAAGATTAAGAAATGTTAACCTCATATCTGCACTTGCACATAGGAAAGAAAGCGACCCTGAAATGTTATTATTAGAGAGATCCAGATATGAGGCTTGTGATAGAGTTGAGGGAATTGGACCATCTATTTGGTTCGAACTCAAATGTAGTTCTGGGTAATATGCAAACTCCACTGTCAAATTTGTAAATATTCCTCTGATTAGGTTCTGTGAGAGATTAATAAATTCTGCGTTACGCAAATTACTCCAAAACCAACTTGGAAGGATATCAGAAATTCCAGCATTCGAAATATCAAGCTGGTAATAAACATTTTGAGTTTGAAGCCATTTTGGGAAAAGAGGACCGACCTTGCAGGACGCCAAATATATGTAATCCAACTGGAAGGGAGGAACCCAATTAGAATGAAAATTTAAAACTAGCGGGTTAGAGGATAAATCCAAAGATTTTAATTTGGAGAGTTTTGAGAAATGAGTTTCTGAAACCACCCCTTCCAAAGAGTTTGTGTTGAAATCGATGCCCACCAGTTGCGACATTTGCCCAATACTTTCAGGTATTTTTCCGCTTAATTGATTGGCATCAAGATGCAAGCCTATCAAAGATGAGAAGCTTGTAAGATTGTTTAATGACCCCGAAAGAACATTCTCAGAGAGGTACAATTCCTCTAATGAGTTTTGAGCACATCTAGGCAATAGTTGAACAAACTTGGATAATTGTCCACTCAGATGATTTCTTTGAAGCGACAATGCTCGCAAATTACACAGCCTTGCAAATGAATTTGGATTTGCTCCTTCAATCTGGTTATCAGAGAGATCCAGACTCACAAGAGAGCTCATGTTTCCAATGAAATCGGGAATTAAACCAGTTAGATTATTGTTGGAGAGATCCAGATATGCAAGAGAGCTCATGTTTCTTGTGAAATCGGGAATGAAACCAGCTAGATTATTGTTGGAGAGGCCAAGAGTAAGAAGGCTTGTACTGTAGTTGGACAACCAAAGAACTATTGACCAAGTGAGATGGTTATAATAGAGATCAACCTTTTCAAGAGACGTAGAAGAATTTGTTTTGTAAAGAGTAGTGGAAAGAATTGGAGTAGGAGGAGGAGGAAGACTACAATTCACCAAGGTCAACTCTACTAGTTTAGGGAGCTTATTATGTACTGCTTCTGGCCAATCGAAAACAGTACTGAGATTGTTTTCGCTTAGGTCCAAATACGTTAAAGAAGAAGGAGCAGGGAGCCAATTGAGATTTTCTGGTCGAAGCTGATTATAGCTGAGGTCGAGATGTTGCATTTGCGTGAGGTTTCCAAACGAACTGGGAATTTGACCAACCAAATTACAGAAACTGAGACTGAGGTTTCTTAGATTGGTTAGAGAACCAATGAAATCTGGAATTTGGGTCCCATTGAAATCAATGAATCCAAGGTCCAAAAAAGTTAAAGAAGAAAGAGCAGGGAGCCAATTGATATTTTCTGGTTGAAGCTGATTATTGCTGAGGTCGAGATGTTGCAATTGCGTGAGGTTTCCAAACGAACTTGGAATTTGACCAACCAAATTACAGGAACTGAGACTGAGGTTTCTTAGATTGGTTAGAGAACCAATGAAATCAGGAATTTGGCTCTCATTGAAATCAATGACTTCAAGGTGCAAATATTGTAAATGCTGCAACTCAATCAATTTAGGACTAATCATCTTACCTTGGAAAGAATATCCATGATCAAGTTGCATCATCGTACCAAGCAAAGAATATCCAAGATGAAGTTGAATCACATGGCCAGTTTGGTTGCTACAATAGACTCCTTCCCATCTGCAACAATCTTGTTTTTCGGCTTCTGAACCCCAAGTTGAGAGTTGATTGAACTCATCCACCAGGCGACGTTTGAATGCAAGTAGTGCTTGCCTTTCCCTCTCTATGCACCTCACTGTCACTTTAGCATCTCTGAGGCTATGGCTGTGGTTGTGGCTGTGGCCAACTTCTCCTCCTTTTACGTTTTGTAGGAAAAGGATCGATAATGCAAGAAAGAGTTTCAAGCACCTTCCGTCGCCCTTCATGTTAATTGATCAAAAGCACATGCAAAAACATTGCAAGTGTATATTGATATATGGTTGTCTCCGTGTATGCTAACTTGCATCAGATATATATAGGAAAAAAGGAAGAAAGCCTTTACAAAGAAAAACACGGTTTAGCTAAAACGGTGCCACACATTCATACAAGACAAAACCATATAAAGGAGTAAATTATCTGCTATATACAATGCATAGTTAATGTTATGGAAATCACACGTCAATCACAATGAGACTAGAATGTCAAGGCGCAATTCTAATAACAAAGTAGTTTGTACTTTAATAACAAAGTAGTTTTTCTTGTTTTCCCATTGTCCCTCCATAACTTTTTAATTATTATTATTTTTTTTTATTATTATTATTTTTTGTTTCTTAATTATATATGAAGTGTAGGTTTTTTCTACATAGAATTGAGGGTGGGTCAAACAAAAAAAACAAAAGAATTGAGAGGTGGCGCGTCTTGTGACCTTTAGTGAGGAGAACTGCATGGTCCAAGTAAACAAGTAATAACTTATTCATATATCACTCAACTCTTTATGTGGAAAATGATAATTGAAGAAAAATTTGTCCATGGTCCAAGTAAACAAGTAATAACTTAATTGTTTAAGTTGAATGTGGGTTCGTCTTAAACACGCTACAAAGAAAAGTATAATACAAGAGTTTTTCAAAACACTTTGGTTATTGACCAAGTCTATTTTGAAATGCCCCTATAATTTAGATTGATATTACACGGGGTCTTACGATTACACACGAAAGTTTCTCGTATTATAGTGATGATCACGAAACACTTAAGTATATTTAGTGTTGGATATCTGATCATAGAGTTTCGGGGCAACTTCCTTCATTTTCCATTTGGATTCTTTGATTTGATTTGTTTTGTTGCTCGTTAAATGATTAGTATATGAATTACTCAGTCATGTTCTTCTGGACTCCTTTGGTCCAAGGAAATTGTGGTCACCCACCCTTGGATATAAATTATAATATAAGAATTATTTTAAAAAAAAGTTTAAAAATTAAACAATAACTAAAATTAAAACCAAAGAGCAAAACACGCTCCCAGTGAAGTTATTTTGATGGCAATTAGAGATACTTGAATTAATCCACTACTTTAATTATCAACAGAAACCAAATTGATTTTTGTTATAATTTATACTTTAATAACAAAGTAGTTTTTCTTGTTTTCCCATTGTCCCTCTGAAACTTTTTTATTATTATTATTTTTTGTTTCTTAATTATATATGAAGTGTAGGTTTTTTCTACATAGAATTGAGGGTGGGTCAAACAAAAAAAACAAAAGAATTGAGAGGTGGCGCGTCTTGTGACCTTTAGTGAGGAGAACTGCATGGTCCAAGTAAACAAGTAATAACTTATTCATATATCACTCAACTCTTTATGTGGAAAATGATAATTGAAGAAAAATTTGTCCATGGTCCAAGTAAACAAGTAATAACTTAATTGTTTAAGTTGAACGTGGGTTCGTTTCAAACACGCTACAAAGAAAAGTAAGCTGACAAGTCACAAGGAGAAGCTGTAGCAATACGTGACCAAAATATAAAACACGAAAGAGGTGCTTCATCTTGTAATTATTAGTTTGGAAAGACGAATATTCATTGACTTAGAACAACAACCCAGTGGTGGTACCATCAATAAGACCTTGCGCCAAGGTGTTGGAATTGGAAGCTGAGGATCGTCAACAGTATACCATGGACCAACAGAAACTAGAGGTGTTGTTGCAATGGCAGTCCTAATCGGAGCCGGCAAAACTCTTCCCGAATTTGTTGATATAAATCTATTGATTCCGTAGTGCCCATTTTTTTATTGAGGGCTCTGATACCAATTGATAGGATCATCTAGAAATGTAAAGAATTTAGAAAATACTCAAATTCAATCTTGTTTGTTAGCAGCACCCCTTTACAGGGATTTAAGTGACGGCAATTGAGAAAAGGAAGCACCTAGAAAGCTTCTAGAGACAAGTTAAGAATTATGCAGCCCATAACATAAACCCAAAGTTTACAATGTATAGACATACCGTTAGTTTCTGTTAATTGACTGGGTTCAATACTTTTTTGTCGCTAGATTTTACAAGAAATTTAAATTTGGTCAGTGAAAAAAAAATTTAGCCAAAAGCCATGCAAATGCTATCCTCTTGCACAAGCTGCCAATAGGCTAAAAATTTAGAGTATGTGTAGCATCCTTTAACTAATTCATGTTAATGTGGTTTTAACAATCCCCCTCTCAAAATATAAGACATAACAATAGGAAAGAGATTAAAAATAAATAAATCATATGATGATAAAATAAGTTCATATCTCAACAATAGTTTCACAAAAACACAGATTCATCTCTTCAAAAAAGCTCCAATCATAATGCCAACAATTATCAGACTCCCAGATTCATAATTGGCAAATTCATCACTTCAAAAAATCTCCAATTGCAAGGGGATTGTAACTCAATTGGTTAAAAGCATTCCATGCATCCGAGGTCCTAGATTCGATTCACTCCTCCTCCAGTATCGCTTGCATTCCAAAAAAGCTCTAACGATAATCCCAACCATTACCCTACTCCCACATTCACAAAAATTCAAATCCATAACTATATCAATACATGGATTTGAACCCAAAAAAAAGAGTTAAGAACAAAGTTGCAAGAGCATAGCATTAGCATGGCTTTTGGCTACATTTTTGTATGAGTGATCAAATTGAAATTGTATTTTAAAACCCAATGACCAAAAGTATTTAATCCAATCAATTCACAGAAACTTATGGGAAGTTTATAAATTGTAAACTTCGGGTAATACATTGAACGATGTAGATTGAACCCAAGTTTTTTTTTTTCTTTTTATCCACTGGAGTAAATTCTTGACAAATAAATTTTAAATTATTAGATAGCACCTACTGTTGCATTCCTAAAAGGACACAAATTAATGTGCAAACAACCAATTAAAAATACCCGCAAGTGCACGAATCTATCGAAGTATAGATTATGTAAGTACGGGGTCGATCCCACGAAGAACTTGTCGGTTTCCTATAAGTTCTAGTTTGAGTACGTAAAGAACACTTAATTGACACACCACAAATACGCAAATGCAAAATGGAAACTAAAAATAAGTAAAGAAGTGCAAAAGAAATGAAACAACACAAGAAAACTAAAGAAAAACACAAACAGCATTTTCTATCGCCATTTTATCGCCTATTTATCACCTGTGAACAGTGCCGTGAACAGTGAACAGTGCGACCGGTCGCGTGAACAGTGACGACCGGTCGCTGGAAGCAGATTTGTTTTCTCTGTTTTTTTAGTTTCGACCTCTGTCCAGTTTTTGACTTATAACTTTCCAACCGTATGTCCAAAATTCACGTTCTTTATACGGTTGGATTCAGAACAGAAAATGCAAGAACACAACGCGGACCAAAAGTCCAAAACAATTACGGAAACAAACAAAATTCAATAACAAAGACACAAAACGTGTCGAACACGCAACTCACACACACATTTGGGGGGGGGGTTTTGATTTGGTTCAAGTGATCTATTTCTAATGCATGTAAGTAAATGGACTTCGAATTTAAATGAGAATGGCAGAGATGAATTATCAAGATGTGAAATTAAAATGTAACAAACACTAGGGTTTCGGAATCCACCCTAAACAATTCTACCCAAGTTCATGAATACTCAAGTGATGAACTCTAAACGTGTTGATGAA